GCTCTTCCGGAGGCGAGAGAGGATGCAAGTCAGTTTTCTGCATTGCATGCACATAGAGGAAATGAACAAACCCAAAAGATGGTGGTAGTAATAGCTACATCACGGTTGTATCCTGTTGAATAATTCCCTTACCAACTTCAAAGTGACTTCAATAGCTTAAGTTAGCAATCTAAGCTTCTGAAAATTTTAACGGGGCATAAAACGAGAGAGCTTTGAGAATATGTTACTCACGCAGGCCTTCGAGTATCCCTGTACGTGCAAATGATTTCTTTCTCGAATTTAACGATATACATATATCCCTCGAAAAAATTCGTATTGATTAGTATTAATAATGTAAAAATAATGTTAATTAAAAATAGTTAGTCGTGATTTTTTACTGATAAATAATAAATCACATTGGCGCGTATATATTTAAATAAAAAATTATTAATCTTTCATATAGAAAAAATTATCGTGTATATATCATGTGCTGTCTACTTTTTGACTGAATACATGTGCCAATTTTTCTCTCTTTCTGTAACTCTCTGTAAATTGCGGCAGGATTGCCCAGAAAGTGCATGGATAATGAATCGCACCGATCGATTGCAGGGAAATGGAATCTGTAATCTAAATAAAAAATAAAAATATTTTTTGCGATACAACAAAATTATTGAAAACCAGATAATCTGGTTAAAAATAGTTTGTAATTTAAAAATGGAAAATAATATCTAAAAATGAGAATTTAAGAAAGGTAATAAAATTTGATTTCAAGAATGAGACTTAATTACAATGCCTGAAAGTTTTTAAATAATATAACAAATTTTTTAAAAATTGAAATTGAAATAATTAATACAATTTGCACAATATAAAACTTATATACCTATAACTAAATTTATATAAAAATTATTGTTATTAAACGTGAAAATGTGAAACGATTTTTTACGATGAATCTTTGTAATAGAACCTGGTCTAGATCTTTTACATGCGAGCAAATTTTCGACTACACAGTCTCCTCTGCTTTCTCGGTTTTTATTTAAGTCTGTACTTGGCACCAATTCTCCTAAGCTGTCCTAAATTTTAAAAATGGAAGAAGAAAAAGAATTGTAGAACTTGAGAATTAAAGTAATGTGCAGCTTATGTTAGTTAAATTTAGAAAAGTATATAGAATTTATGCAAAAGAAAATATCATAATATCCAAAAATTTAAGTCTTGATATCATTGAGCATCTGATCATTTCGTTATTTGAAACTTATTCAGCGGTGTTTCGAAGGAACTTTAGTTCTTCTAGAAAAATGTTTATTTAAATATATTCAATCTTATAACATTTTCCTTCAATCTCTTTGTTGCATTAAATTAAGAACAAAATTTATTTATTTTTTTAATCTTGCGTGTTTTTTAGGTATCTGAAATTTTGGACCTTGAGACAAAGATTGATGTGAATCGATTAAAAATAAGAAAACGAATTTATTGATCAAGCGTGGAGAAGGCAAAGATATACTTGTTTAAGCCTTTACAGCCTTTCGTAAAATATTACTGCGTTATCACCTGACATTGCCTTATATGACAGCGAGAAATGTAATTGCGCAGTTTGTAAAGTCAAGGTACACAAATGCATGAAGTCGATCCTGCAACGAGGTGGAATGCGACGACTTATTGCAGGCGGGCGTTAACTTTTTCCACTCGACGCGGTTAGTAAAACGTGGCTAAGCTAGATCGCCGTATCTCTTCTGTCTGCACCACTTTACTTTTCCTGCAAGGTTTTACTCGTAGAATTATTATTATTACGGGAGACGACGGCGAGATATACTGAAGCGGTTATTCAGCTTGTAGCGTGACGTTTTTACGGTCGTGGAAAGCGCTCCAGAAGTGCCCCCGTAGTTACGCATACGTGTATAACGGATCGCTATTATGATCAACTCTCGAATATGTATCATGCAATTATGCAATTTCTTTTTTTCCTCGACAAAACTTTTGACGAAACGATCGATCGTTTACGCTTGTACGCTAATTTCGATGGAACTGCGAGTTTCGCAGCGAATCACTCGAGGCTTTCCGGAGAGAGTTGCTCTCTATTTACACTTGGGGATTTACGTCACTTAAGCTAATCGAATTAGTTTTGCCTGCCCGAGAGATTTGCCGAAGTATTCATTAGATGATTGAGAACAAGCGCGGATTATTCGTTGCTGTAATCGACAAGGATGCAAGGCGCGCTACACACTACCTTTGTAAATTGAGATATTGAGTTATGGATAACTAGTTATTTCTCATTCGACCGCATTCAATAGAAACTCAATGTGAAACCATTTCGATAACAACGTTGTACGCCCGCTTAGATGTATCTATTTGTAATATAATGTTTGCCAGAGTAAAGTTCTCAAAGATCAATATCTATAATCGTAACATTATTGTTTTCAGGAAAACATACTAATATTCCAATGAAGCAAAATTAAATTAGCATTTATCTTCTTATTTTTATATCTCTTTTTTTTTTTTTACGGACATTGCTCCCCCGATTTCTCTGCTCTGGCGTGCAGAGAAAAACAGTTCGCGCATCAATTTACTGTGATATTTCAAAACGCATTTAAATATAATTTCTTATCTTTTCCAGCCGACAAAGCTCAACGTCTACAAGAACGACGCCGAGAGCTGGGACTACACAACCCCGACACTGGGTGAGTTCTCTTTTTTCTCTCTTTCATCTCCCTCAGTTCTTCTTTTATTTCTTTCTATCGGTGTTATGTACGTGTAACTTCATAACATTACATTCCCCGCGTCTCTCGACATGCGTTTCAGCAATTGGAAGCATGAAAATGTAGAATCGGACAAGCCTGCTATTTCGATAAAAACTGATGCGAATAAAATAGTGACATATCTAGATTCTTGCAAATATGAATAATGAATACTAAATTTATTCGTCGAAAGAGATGGGCTTGCTTGATTCTTGTATCGAGATCGTCAATTAGATTATATTTTACAGAAAGAGGCCAACTATATTCAATTTACTTCTTCTTGCAAAATTTGATCCAATTGGCGACTCTTGTCGCGTACGTGCACATGGAGGATCGTTCCCGATGAGCATATCGCGATTTCTCCCCTTTTTCGGTTCTCCATTCGTGTCGTTTCTGTACTTCGTTGCACATGATGCGGAAAACCTAATTGGATTAAACGACAGTTCAAAAAGGTTTCGCTAAAGCATAGTATTTCTCCTTCACATATGTATGGAATGAAATATTTTTTTTTTTTAATAATACTAAAAAAGTAATATTTATATTAAGAGAAATCATAAAAGAAAATGATCTCTTTGCATTTCTGTTGTTTATATAAATAATTTCACAAATGATTTATCATGTAATTGACCATGACACAGTTCTTTTTTTCAACAGCAGTGTATCTTTTTATAAATATTGATTCTTTTAAATTTTTATTGCGTGAAAAAGAATTAAAGAGTCGCGTATTGTATTATTGACGTAAATCCGTTGAAATCCGATGATTTTCAAAATGAAAATCCGATTCCAAAACCGCAACCATGGCGCGGTGGGAACGATCCTCGAGCTTGAAATTCGCCCGACCGTCATACGCATGAATTCGTCGCGAACATTCACATACCACAGAATCCGATAGATCTATTCACTCTGAAATACGAGAGAGCGTAAGAATATGAAAATGCGTAATGATTCGGACCACCCAACGAGAAACGTATGAATTTTTTGAATCGACGAATGTTGCACACAAGAGAGTTTAGATGTATCATAAAATATATATATATATATATATATATATATATATATATATATATGTATAATCAAGACATATCATGTTACAAAAATATTAAATGAATTTCACGTGATAAAACGAACACGCGAATCTCTTATGACTGACAATATTTTTAAAATTATGAGTTCGTATCGCACGTAATTGCATCACTTCTGCATTTTGCGTGAAATGTAAAATGCATCTATAAAGTAATTAGATTTTATTTCAATGCCCACAACGGCTTATATTTAACGTAATATATTTCAGTTAATTTCCCATTGCCTGCAACTTATGTTCGCGAGATTGTTCGCGAAACCGATCCTATCCCCGTCCTGACTATCTATTCCAATCTTATGAGAAAGTACATAACAAAAAGCGAAACGAAGCTGGGAACCCATGCTGTCGAATTATTTTTGCAAATCAATTCTCTTGACCAAAGATTAAATCGCATGCTAAAGGTGCGAATGTAACATACCTTTCGTGTGCGCAAAAGACTGGCCATTTTAGTGGCTCAACGTCGCTTGGTCATGACGCATAAATTATTTCGAGTTATCCTGCGACATTAATTACCGCGTTTCTTTCTACCGGTTAATGATGATTACTAACGCCACGTGCGAACGCCGCGCTCGACCCGGAGAATTAACGCCATTTTCGAGATAATTGCCTTACGCGCCGGGCTGCTGCGGTTTCGTTGCACGAATTGGAGCGTTAAATGGCAATTACGCTAAGATAATCTAGCGACGCGAGTTTATATTTTTGCGAGTAAACTGAAGAAACGAAAAATTTGCCATTGAAATTGAAAAAAGGAAACAAAATTACAACACAGAACAGTTTTATATTAATTTTCTGTATTGCGATAATATAATAATTCTTGTTTATGAAAACACTAACAAAATGCAAGTTTTACGATAATAACAAATAAGCGATTTTAATATTTTATTAATAAATTAAATTTTAATTACATTAATTTACATATGAACTTTAATTTTTTAATTTATTAAAGAAATTAAGGCCGTGTGTGCCAAGAATGTAATAAAAAAATTGAATTTTTGCTAATGAGTATAATATTTCTAAAAATATATCATCATTTTTCATTTTGGAAAAACATTAACCTCAGAAAAGTTTGGGTCACGCTGATACCGCTAACGCATGCAACTTGCACATTTAGGGATTAATGCTAAGAGATCGTCGAGCAATATTTAAACCGGCAATAGCTGTTTGAAACACGAAGAGAGAAAGTTTGTGGCGAATTCGACAATTAACTAATACGCGTGAATCCGCACGTATTGATCTCCATAGTGCTGCAAGGAGCAATTAACGGCAAGCAATTGCCAGAAATCGCGTGCCAGGTACAAGCCTTAAACAGAATTTCGGTGGAACGACGAGCGAACGAGGTACTCAAGGAATTCGACCCAATTATAGCGGCTTGACGTTCCGTCACTCGCAGGCGCCATCGACGGCATGCCCTTTCGACTGCACGAAATCTCTCCAGGTTCTTGTAGACGCATTTCCGCACTAATTGGCGTCGTTTTCGGACATAACGACGGTATTCGTTTACTAAGAGCTTGATCCTAGAAGGACATCTTTCATTATATTGGCTATGTCCCTCTCCTCTATTACAGTCAATCCCATAAAATTAAAAAGCTTCTAAATTGCCTTTTTATCTAGAATTTACAAAACTGAGTTAGCACTAAAAAAAAATTAATTGCAATAACATTTAAAATAATTGAAAGAAGGATTAAGTGTGTGTTAAAGTATTTTTACTTTGCATGTAAAGATTAATTCGAGTTTAATATTAATAAATATTAATTTTTCCATTTAGTTTAAGTAAAATTTTTCTCTAATTTTAAATCTAATTTTATATTTAACATTAGATTTTAATAATAATCAGAGATAGAGAGAGAGAGAAAGAGATTTTAAGATAATATAAAATTTTAATTAAAATTTTAAGATAATTAAATTAAATATTTATTTTCTATAAGAAAAAAAAGTTCTTTTATCAAAAAATTATAAGCTTTTCTTTCGTATAATGTATTTTGTATCGTTTAATTCTAGAATAAATTTGTAAAAATTAGATTAATCTGTCAAATGCATTTCCGATATATCTATCTATTCGAACGGCGAGATAAAATAATACGGTAACTATTGCTGGATCAATTTCTCGATAGAAAATGCTTTGTTATCACTGGAAGAAACTTGATTACGAAACCCCCACGAGAATGGCGTCGACAAACCTGTCTGTTGAACTAATTACATCGGAGATAGGTCAGGTCGATTGCTGTACGCCTAACCTTTCCATCCTTGCATCCGCATCTCGGATGAAAGTTTCATTAAATCTATAGGCTATATCGCCCAGTTACAACCGCAACCTGAATTTCCGCGAAGAAAAGCGGTCGCACAATTTTTACTCGTCCGAGATGAACGGCATCTTGGACTCTATCGATCCAAACGTCGCCGGTTGAATCATTTATCGTGAATTTAAATCAAATTTTGAAGGATAATTAATATATATATATATATTGTATATATATAAATCTGATATCAATACATTCAGCCATCTTTTTATTATCTATTTTAATTTCATTTACAATAGATAATAGATAGCTCTTGAATATTCAAATTTGAATCTACTTTGACATGAATGATCTACAAAGCGTCTAAATGAATGAAAGAAAGTTGTCATATATTCTTATCAATCGTCCCTGATCAAATTATTACCTCTCGATAAAAAGAATAAAGCAGCGATCGCGTTACCACAAATATCTCGACCGAGAGCTTAAAATGAACCGATTTAACTCATCTTTGTTATTTTAATCAACCGATTACCTAAGAAAGAGCACACAACATATTGTGCAACAATGACACGCTTCCATCTTTGCGATTCTCCGGGCGATTAAGACTCGCGATTAATCTACTGCGTGTGTCGTCTACTCAATTATAAATGCAGAAATAGCGTTCGGCCGGACACCGCGATCAATCCCCCCCCCCCCCCCCCCCCGCCGCTCT